GCAGTGCCCGAGGACTTTCCATAGTTCCTACTAAATGGATAAGTTATAAAAGGAAACGGAAATGTCAGTGTTGTCGTAAATCCCCTATTGTCAACTGTCGCTCTTCATGTGGATAATTATTAACACGGTTTGACCAAACAGGACAGATATTGTATGATCTTAACCACTCTACTACATCACCACAAAAAGGAAAAGAATGAACATTGTTACATCCTTACTGGGATCAATGCCACTCAAAGCATTCACACTTACAACTATAAATTTGATTTAGGGTTATTTAAGATTTACCTAATGCTGCGTGTTTCTATGCTGTGCGAGGAAATTGGAGAACCCAGAGAACAAACACAAAAACACAGAACATTACTTTCCAAAACTGCTTGACTTCCACCAAGCAGTTTTGCAGAATAAAGACACTGGATTGAGTTAATTAAGCTAAAAACTCAAATACCCATATAATATGTGTATCAATCTGTTACGCCTATAATTTGTGGGTTAGCACTTGTACCACTGCTGCTTGTGGTCCCTATGTCTTTTTCTGATTCGGTGCTTGCTCACGATTGCTGCAGTACAGCTATTTCTTCTTCCGTAGTGTGATGTTTTTCTAAGATTTGTATATCTACGCAACATTTGGCCCAGTTTCACACAGCTAGAGATAAATATTAGAAACATAACTTGACTTTATGCCAATAGTGAAGCTAAACTGTACTTCAGATAAAAAAAAAATGCGTGGGATTGTTTATTTATTTGTGTCACAACAAATCATGCATCATTCAGATGACATTTATCAAAGGTCTGATATGACAAAACACCAGAGAGATTAGTTTTGATGAAAAACAAATCCTGCCGTCCAAGCCACAAGACAAGCAGGAATAACCCAAAGGTCAGTGGCAAATGTCAAAAAGTTCATAGTGTGGAAACAGGAAGTGAGGCAAGCTGCAGCTTTAGCTCAAGACCTCACTTGTATTTCGGAGTTGGGAGCTAAAACAGTGAGATACTGTCATAGAATCTGGAATAATAATAATAAATGATGAGGATAGAACTTTTTCTACTTAGTTGGATAAGAATAAATAGTAGCTAGCTTCTCTTTCATATGTTCGGTTCCCAAACCTTCCCATGCCAAGGCCTTCATCGTACATCCACAGATAATACTACAAAATATGTAAGGAAACATAAACTTATAGAATGTATTTTTTTTTTACTTTTATTTAATATTCAATAATAATACATTGTTGCAACTGTCACATCAGGTGTGTTCAGGTACTATGGGAAACTTGAGAATCTGACAATTATGGTAGTTTACATATTGTTTGATTCAGATTCAAATGTTTAATAAAAAAAAAATTGTGGATTTTTTAGCGGCCTCCCAGGGGACTATAGCCCTACTTTGAAAACCACTGCTCTAAACAACACATTTGCACTACAGTCATTCTTGTGTGGACTGCTAAAATACAGATATAGGACTTTTCACTCCTAAAACGTATTACCGTTGCTGGTCATCATTTTTGTCTGTATTTGTTTTTCATTGATTCTGTTCTATGATTAAAACATCTCTGGAAACACAAAACAGGGAAATACCAACCTCTTACTTTGAATAACCTGCAGCACAAAAGATTGGCCAGATGGTCTAGTGCAGGCATGTTCAAAGTCCAGGCCTCTATAAAAGTATTTTAAAGGCCTAAGGTGATACTTATTTACTGCTGTGAAATATGTTGCAGCATGGCTCTCATTCTTTTTTTGCTGCTTTAAAACTAAACCTGGGCTATTTATTTTTCATTTTTCTGTTTTAACCTCAAGCGTTACAATGAAATTATTTCGCTTCCTGTTATCCTAGTTATTTGCTGAGAGTAAGTGTAGGTAAACCATTGTTATCAACTTAATTAAGTGTGCTAAGAAATTCCCATTATAATTGCCATTTGTTGTTAGCATTTTTATTGACGCTGTCTTCCTTCACGTAACTCAACAAGTTGAAAGTCTTTCAGCTGCATTATGTGGTATCCAAGCATAACAACACTAGGGTGTAGCTAAAAAGAAACACCACAGTGTGTGAAATTCTTGGCATTATCAAACCATAGCAAAGGACCCGCAGGCCACAATTAAATTGTGCTAAATATAAGACACAAGAATAAAAACAGAACAATAAAACAGAAAAACCCCAGCTTTTAAAAAAAATAAAAAACCTGTATTTGATGTGCTGCAAAAAGTTAAGATGTCATAGTTTTAACATATGGTGATTCCATACAGTAGAGAAACAATTCTAGCTAAACATGCAGTAACACACTGACAATAGCTTACGTTTTTCATAAACCTCTTGTATTATTGCCAACTAGGTAGTTGAATTTACAGGATATATATGTTATTCTGGCAAAGGTGGAACAACACAAACACTGTAAAGGTATATAGTTACTCTGCTTTTTATTGTCCGTGTTGAAAACTATCAAATGAGTTATGAGCAACGCTGACAACCAACGGTTGAAGTTGGTACTACAACTGATGACGGACGGCGAATGAGTCTTTTATTTAATAAAATCATACATCAAAAAGTAGATATTGTAAAAAAAAAAAAAAGTCATATCAAACAGTAGAGCGTGAAATAAAATTATTAATATTAAATAATATGCTGTACTACGTAGCGTTCCGTTCACTACAGGGTATGTTATTATCTATCTCCCTCTGCTGGTCAAACATTGAATCAACGGTAGATAATGAATGAAATACGGCACTCGACATCACTACCTGTAGATGGCGCTTTGCTCCTACACTTATACGGATTTAAAGTGGAGCGAAAGCCCATCCCCCTTTCCCTTCCCCGCCCCCATTCTGTATCTTTCTTTCCTTCCCTCTCTACACCAAAACGATCACAGGTGTTAAACGAACAAACTCTGACCAAAACAACCCACACTTAAGTCAACAAAACAGGCCAACAGGACATCATTAACACAGAGGTAACGGTAAAAACACAAACGTGAATATATGAACCTATGTTTTATTTGTGCTTCACATTTATTATTTCACAACTTTACAATATGCATATTTTCTTCAATCCTTAGTTTGGGTAAAGGATTTGGTTTTGGTCTTTTGGTGTAGAATGAAGATGCCTTACGTCTAGAACAGGCTCTGGCCAGAGGTTCAGTCTTGTACACGTACTGGACTTTAGGCTTGGTCAAAAACAACAGAAGTGGAAATCATCGGAGACCACCGGTCCAAACCTTGTGATCATGTAAATGTTTATGGCAAATGAGTGCAGGGGTCACAGATGATGGTGGGGCATTT